GACCACTGTGCCGCTCGCTGCTCAAGCACATACTCGCTGAGCAGCTTTTCGATTCGCGGAAACCGACCCTGCTGTGGTCCACTCAAGCCCTTGCGTGAAGCTTTGCTGTCGACAATCTTCTGCTTTTATTTTCGCCAGTCTCGTACGCACGTTTGGGGAACTCCGAACGACCGCGATGCGGCCCGATTTCCGTTCGTTTCTGCACACGCGATGGCTTTTCTTTTAAAAGCGGCATCGTGGTGCACCTTAGTTTTTGGAGTCGGCCCTTCCATGTCGTCTATGCTAATGCTTTATAATATGACGAACTCCTCAGTACACGTGCGAAGTGCCGCACGTGGGAAACACATAGGCAGAAATGGCCGGCGCGCCATGCCGATGCACGTAGGGGGCGGCCATTTTGAAAATGCCGATGGCAATAGAATGACCGTATTAATTTTTTTTTCGTGCTCGATTCTAACGTGCATGCGATTTATGAACTCGCTTAACCGGAAAAAAGGTGCGCGTTAGATTCGAGAAATTACAGTACTTCAGGAGACCCTCTTGCTGAACCATCGTCTACGTAAGAAATGCCGACCAAGGTACAAAAAGTTTTAAAGATGTTTGGCTTGTTCACAATGACGGCAACCTGCATAGTGCGCTATTCTTGTACATGTGTTGCAGACATCGCAGAGCATGTTGCGTTGACTGGACACAATATCAACAGGGATAACGCTTTGCATCATTGCCACAGAAAGCTGTTCCCGCTAATGCACATAGAATCTTTGGCCATTCAGTCTACTGCGCACACACTCAACACAAATATGGAGGCACTCCATGATCCCAGCAGGTGTAGTTTGTGCATGGCCTTGAAATGAGGTTCATCAGAAGTTTTCTTGCTGCACACGCGCAGTGCCCCTTTGTACCACATGCTTCGGGATTTTCAGTGCAATGAAAAGGAATGGAAGGTCCATGCCTTTGCGAGACACAGTGCTTTTCCAATTTCTATAACAGCTGTACTTTGGCGAAAATTGTGTTACTGTTAGTAAGCATGTTATCTTGATATAGTTATATTCTGCTGGCACATAAAAAAATTTTAATGAATCCACGAACGCTCGCTGCACCTGGTTCGTAAAATGACAGTTCTGTTATCAAATTAGTGGTAGCATGGATGGTACCTGTTGAAGGACACTAGAAGAGACTGGAACAATGCAAGGGATAACCAGGGCAAGCGTGCTGCTGCCCTTTGCTCTGTTGTTTTTAAAGCAAACCACAAGATTTGACTGTTTGGTCAAATGGAAGTTTTACTAGATGTTTTGTGAATCGTGCAAGAAACATTTAAAAATATTTTGCATGTAAAATAGTGAAATCTCATCTGGTTATTACATGACCCCAGGGTATCCTGAAACAAAACAATTGTAGCCACAACCATTTTTCAGTTACAAGTTGAGATGTTTGATTAGTGGATGTTTTGGGCTTAAAAAAAAGAGAAAGAAAAGCTTCTGTAAAAAATATAATTTTGGTGGCAGCATATTTTTTCTGCTTCAGAAAGGGCGCATGTTGTATGTAACCAAAAACGTTACTTGATAGCTGCAGTAGTTACAGAGAAGATGCTCCTTTTCTGATGAAAAGCACTGTTTGCAGAAAACTTGATTTAAACCAAGCGATGGCGCTGCTAAGGTTAACACCAGTGGGCATGGGCCGTGTGGCCACTGGCAGCTGCAGTGTGCTAGTTATTTTTTAGCATTGTGGGTGGTCTAAACAGTCTGCGCGAATACACGGGAGAAGAAGCTTTGCGGTGTACTTCCACGCAGCGGCGGTGCCCTGTCTCGGTGTCCTCGGCTGTTGTCTGCTGCTACTGTGTCCGTTATTTTCATGCCTGGTCTGGTCTGCGGACGTGTTGCCGGCACACGTGCCGGCAACACGTCCGTCTAATGAATATATTGTAAGGCAACGTTTTGGCTGCAAGACACTTTTTTACTTGCCGAGCCTCTGCCCCCACAACAAAGGTCAGACTGAGTAAGCACATATAAAATGTGACGCGTATGATTGATGCTCACACTTTTCCCCCCACGCGTGAGCGGCTAGCCCGGACGCGTCTTAGACGGAAACGGAACGTCGAACGAATGGCTTCAGACGCGATATGTGGACAATCTCGGAACCATGACAGCGATGATCCGAAGAAAGGTTGGTGGGAGTGACACGATAGTTCACTGGTGACGTTTGTTCATTGATTGTATAGGGTCCAATGAAGTGTGACTGAAACTTCTCGCACAATCCTGGAGTACGAATGGGCGTCTAAAGCAACACTTCATCCCTCGGACTGAAGAAATCATCGTGATGAGAGCTGGCCTAGCGTTGCTTGCGATCTTGCTGATTGGCTTCTGTATTAAGGCAAGCCCGTTGCCGACATTCGTCGAGCCTTGTGATGAATTGCTCTGATACGGTTGCCGAGGCGTCAGTTGGAACATTTAGGAAAGAGATGTCAATGGTGAATGTCGGTGAACGGCCGTACACGAGGTAGAAAGGCGAGTAGTCAGTAGTTCTTTGAACAGCGGTGTTATGGGCAAACGTCGCAAAAGGCAAAATCTTATCCTAGTTGTCGTGGTTTGGTGTGATATACATCGATAGCATGTCTGCTATGTCCGATGAAATCTGTCAGCTCATTAGTTTGGTGGTGGTAGGCTGACGTTGTCTTACGTACCGTGCCACAGGTTGTGAGCAGGGTTTCGATTATGGTGGACAGAAACGCGTTGCCGCGATCACTCGGGAGGACGCGAGGTGCACCGTGGTGCAATACAATGGCGTTGAGAAAGAAGTCTGCGACGTCTGAAGCAGAACTTGTGCGTAGTGCAGCAGCCTCTGCGTACCATATCAGGTGATCGACAGCAGTCGCAATCCAACGGTTACCTGCTGGCGTGATGGGGAGAGGTCCAAGTAGGTCTGTGCCAATGATAGCGAAAGGAGTCTCGGGACACGGGATGGGTTGCAGAAGGCCAGCAGGAGACGAAGTTGGTCGCTTCCGCCATTGACACAGATGGCAAGATGCAACGTACTTGGCCACAAAGGTAGAGATGCCAGGCCAGAAGAAACGTTTCCTGGTGCGGCTTTGTGTTTTGTGAAATCCCAAGTGGCCTGCACATGGGTCGTCGTGAAAGGCTTCGAGGACTTGGTAACTTAAAGAGCGCGGAAGTACTGGAACCCAGCGGTGTCCATCAGTATAGTGTGAACATAACGATGGGGCACATTGTTATGGAGCTTAAATTGCCGCAGTTGTCGGCGCAATTTCGCATTAGGAGTAGGTGATGTTGGATAATGCGATTGCAATATGAATAATCACGCTGGCGTGTGGTGAACTCTGTGTAGCGATTTGAAGCCGGCGTGTCCATAACAGCAAGGTGTGATAATGTGAAGAGTGACGCAGTGTCCTGCCCACCAGATGAACAATCAGCTGACGTACTCGACAGTTGAAGGGGGCAGCGAGAAAGAGCAACTGCATTTTGGTGTCTTTTTGCCAGACTTACAGATGTCAAAATTGTACTCGTGTAGGCGGAGCACCCAACGACTGAGGCGACCAGACAAGTTTCTCAGTGACGATATAGCCAGCACAAGGCGTGATGATCCGTAATATCTGTGAAGTGGCGTCCGTAAAGATACGGTGGAAATTTTTGTAGGCCCAAACAACAGCGAGACACTCCTGCTCAGTTATGGAGTCAGCAACATTAAGAGCACGACTAGCATACGCAATAACTCTTTCCCGTGAAGTGGCATCCAGCTGTAGAACAACTGCACCAATGCCATGGCCGCTCGCGTCGGTGTGCAGACATGTCGATGCGTTCTCGTCGAAATGCCACAGAACAGGGTCGGATGTTAAAGCATGCTTCAGGCTTGAAAGGCACGCTCGCAGTCGTCGTTCCGAGCGAAAGCTGATTCGGATGTCAGCATGCAGCTTGTGCAGTGGCGACGCGATGGCAGCAAAATGACCGATGAAGCGGCGGAAGTAGGATACCAGGCCCAAGAAACTTCGTAGGTGTTGTGGAGATAGGTTTGCACTAGGCTTACCTACTAAGCGCAACCGTGAAGGGATGCGACGTCCTCCACTGCCGCTGCGTGCGACGACGCTGTGGCCGGGTTCCTCGTTTTCTTCGACACGGCGCAGAAACCACGCACGAGGCAGGAAAACAAGAACAAAGGGTTTATTAACTCAAGATGCAGCACAGTGCGGAACTCATGGGCTTGCAGGCCGTACAGGGAACTCCGCAAGACCGAGCAAGCGCGCTTGCCTAGGGCGCGACGACTCCCGCACAAGGGCCGAAGTAGAATGCATGAACGAGAAGCCGCCTGCTAAGCGGCGCGTTAACCCCTCGTGGAGGCCTGAGAGCATCTGCCGGTGGTGGTAGTGGTTCGTAAGGAAGAGGAACAAGGCACCTAATTTCTGTCTGCCTATAGGCGACACGGTGCAGTGCCTTGAAGGGGTGGGGGTAAGGAAGGATAAAAGGAATAGAAGGAAATAGATGAAGAAATAGAGAGGCAAGCGACAGAAAAAAGGAGATAGGAAAGTGGGGATCGGGTCGAAGCAGTCGACTGGTTCGCCGCGGAGGGCGAACCAGCCGGCGGGAGCTACGGTGGCGTCGTAGATTGCGAGGACACGACCATCCAGCTTGAAATCCTGCGAGCGAATCGAGCATCTGCCGCGACGAGGGAATCGTCGGGCGCAACCATAGCTCGTAGGAGTGGAGGATGTCACGCGCGGACCCACGCGGCCGAAAGGAAAATGGTGCTGCATTGTGACGTAGGCCCGCGCAGCGCGCCAGCGTAGCGTGCCTGGACATGCCAGCGCGGGACGGAGCCGATGCTTGACTCGTCCACACCAAGAGGCGCCCGGCAGCCATCTTGGCGAATGCTGGTGCTTATGCGCGCCCGGGCTACGCCGTCGGCGCGCGCGCGGCAGCTGGGGAGGGAGGCGCCAGGTAGGAGGGCGCTTTCCATTTCCGCATTCGCCTCCTGCTAAGACCGAGGCTGCCCTAAAGACTCCGCAATAAAAGCATCCACCGACACCGAAAAAAACTGAGGTCCAGCTCAGTGCCATCCACGAGATCGGCGGGGGCCCCGGTGTCTTCGTTCGGTGGCGTCTCAGCAGGAACATGGGGCCGCGGGAGGGCGGCGGACACCACAGCAGTGATGGCCGACTTGAATGAAGAGTCCGTGACGAGCGCCTCCACGACCACATGAATGGAGTTGGTCGACGGGGCAGGTTGAAGGCCCGGGCCAGGCGGCACCGCCGGAGTGGACAGGACCGCAGGGGCACTGCCGGACTTCGCTCGGTAAACCCGCGAATGGAGGTGGGTAGCCTCGTGCACCAGCAGGACACCGCAAGCGTCGCAGTAGGAGGCCTCAGGAACAGGTGGCATCGAGGCACCTCCGGAAGCGTCGAGCAGGTCCGAAAGAGTGCGTCCGCGAAAAGGACGCGGGACGGACTCGGGGTCTACCCCCACACAGACTTTGCATTGCTTGGACCAGCGACGAGTCGACACGAAGGCGACTGGGGCTTCAGTGCCTTGTTGGAACGTCCACGTAGCGACTTCACGACGAGGCGGTGGCTTGTTGGCCGGGGCCGGGGGAGCATTCGACGGAGGGAGCATGGACGCGGCTGGTGCCTGAGGAACGACCGAGCGCGCGGCTGGTCTCCCGGGCTTTTTCTTGGAGTCACAGGCCATCGAAGAGGACATCACGAAAGCTGGGGTGTCGGTGAAAAGCCGAAACGCACTGAAGGTGCGGCCCCGGAGGCGTGACAGGCTGGCCCAATAAAGAGAGCCTACTCCGTCGGATTGAAGGTTGCGTGAGCCAATAGGGTGCACGCTTCCCTTCTCCTGCCGACTACGCGAAAGATACCTAGTGAAAGAGTGAGCCACTGGGGAAAGGGCTTTTCTCTCTCGAGCAGCCGGGAGTGCTGGGAACCGGGTGGATATTCCGCGCGCAGCGCGTGTAATGGTGTTCTCAGGGAGAAAGCTCGCCAGGTAGCCGTTACTATTGCTGCTGGATGGGCTCTCGCACAGCAGCTATCATCTCCGCTCCCTTACATGGAGGGGATAACGTCCCGCTGCAGGTCGGGGGCGAAAATCAGCCTAAGTGCGTTTTCGCAGGTTGTACCGGTGGCGTGGTTTGGAACCAGCTTTATCGCGCTTTCCCTGCGATTCGGTGACCGCCTCCCCCTCCCCGAAGTCGTTGCTGCGGGCAACGAAAGGTTTGAGGTCGGAGACGTTAACTGGACCGCCGACTGGTCTCCCTTGTGAGTCAGCCAGCTTTTATACCAGGGGCGACACTTTGGTCTGCACTCGGTATGGGCCCAACCACTTGGCCGAAAGGGAGGCCGAGATGCCTTTGGCTGCGTCACTCAAGACGTGATTGCGCCTGAGGACGAGATCGCCGACATCGTAACGGACATCCCGATGCGACCGGTCGTATTGAGCCTTCTGACCAGCTCGCGCTTTTTCCAGGTTGGAACGCGCCAGGTCGAGGACCACGTCCATCCGTGCGCGCAGTTTCGCCGCGTAGCCAGACGGGCCGGCCTTCGCGGCGCTTGCCCCGCCGCCGCCCCGTAGGATGCGGTCCATGGGGTTAGGCAGCTCTTTCCCAAAGTTGAGGAAAGCGGGCGTGTACCCTGTCGAGCGATTGACCGTAGACCGCGAGGAGAAGCCGATCTCGTTAAGACAGGCATCCCGATCCCTGTGTTGCTGCGCAAAGGCTGTCAGCAAGGGCTTGATGTTCTGGTTTATCCGCTCGGTCGGGTTGGTCTGTGGGTGATACGTGGTTGTTTTACGGTGATTAATGCCAAAGGCAGCGCACGCATCCACTAACACCTTGGCCGTGAAATAGAACGCATTGTCCGTGATCAACTCCACCGGAAAGCCAAAGCGGGTAAAGACCTTGGTCTACTTGTTCCAGATTGTGCGTGCCATTAACTTCCGAAGGGGAAACAGTTCAACCCACTTCGTGAAGTGATCTGTGACAGCCAGGAGAAAAACATGGCCTCTCCGGCTTCTTGGGAAAGGTCCCATAATGTCACAGGCCACGACCTGCCAAGGTTGTTGGTTGTCGATCGGCTGCATGAGCCCGGGAGGCTTGCCCCCGCGACGCTTCACGCATTGGCACACGCGGCATGAGCGGGCGTAGTGAAGGGCGTCGCGCTTCATGCCAGGCCAGGTAGCGGAGCGGCAGAACCTTTGAAAAGTCTTAAGGCTACTCGCGTGTCCGGCCAACCGCGAGTCGTGGAAATAACCTAGGGTGGCCTTCCTTTATCACCACCTTGAAAGACTCCAGGGGAGCTTCTTCAGATGAGACGTAGCGCAGGAGAACGCCGTCGGCGTCAAGCAGGTACGAGTCCAACGTGCCCGCAGCAATACGAGCCTGCGTACGGCACTCGGCGCCGACAGCAATACCAGCTGTCTGTTTGCGCCCGGCGGCTTGACTGCCACGCTCCGCTTGGGAGCTCAGCTCTTTGAGCTCGTCAACGATGTGTTGATAAAACGGATCGTCCTGATGTGCCTTGAGCAGCTCCTCTCTGCTAAAGACGATACCGGCGGACGTGACAGGGTCTACCAGGTATGCGTCCTCACCCGAGGCTGTCGACTCGAAAGTCACTTCGCCATCTGGGTTTGCGCCTTTCGACCTTTTGGAGCCAGAGGGCCCGGGGTGTACTTGATGCGACTGCTCTCGGGAGTGGCGGCCACAAGTACCGGACGCAAACACGGGGGCACGCGACAAAGCGTCAGCCACGACGTTCGAACTCTCTTTCCGGTAGCGCACAAAAAAGTTGTACCGCTGCAAGGTCAACGCCTAGCGCGCGAGGCGGCCCGCGGGCTCGCGCAAGCGCTTAAGCCAGGTGAGTGCCATGTGGTCCGTTTCCACCACGAATGGCACGCCGTCGACATAGCAGTCGAACTTCCGGAGAGCGAAAGCTATAGCGAGACATTCCCTTTCTGTGACGCTATAGTTATGCTCGGCGGCGTTAAGTGACCGGCTCGCAAAGGCGACTGGCAGGAGGACGCCGTCGTGCTCCTGAAGCAGTACCGCGCTGAGACCCAGGTCGCTCGCGTCCGCCTGGACAACGATCTCCCTGTTCAGGTCGGGCAGCTTTAACTCGGCTGTGGCCACTTGAGCTTCGGAGAGCGCCTTGAAGGCTCGCTCTTGTTCTGGCCCCCAGCTCCATCGTGCCGACTTTTTCAAAAGAGCAGTCAAGGGCGCTTGGAGGGCTGCACAGTTTGGAATGAACTGTCGATAGTAGTTCACCATGCCCAAAAAGCGCCTCGGGCCCTGTATGTTTGCCGGCGTCGGGTACTCCACAATGGCACGTATCTTTTCCTCGCACGGCAGAACACGACCGCTCTGAATGGTAAAGCCTAATAGTGAGATGTGAGTCTCAGCTAGTTGAGCTTTCTTCGGGTTCAAAGTCAACCCGGTGGCACGCAACCTCCAGAGGACATGCTCCAAGTGGTGAAGGTGTTCCTCGAACGTTCGAGAGAAGATGATGTCGTCGAGGTACGCCATGGCGTGTTGCCATTTAGCGTCCCCTAGAACGCGGTCTATCAATTTCTGAAACGTAGCTGCAGCTCCAGAACAGCCAAACGGCATGCGAGTAAACTCGTACAAACCTCTGTGAGAGGTGGACGCAGTTTTCTCCGCGTCAGCCTTCTCCGTCTGAACCTGCAGGTAACCGCGGCTAGCATCGAAGGTGCTGAAGTAACAAGCACCGTCTAGAGCAGCCACGATCGAATCAACGTTAGACATAGGATAAGCATCCTTCTTCGTGACCTCGTTCAGCCGGTGGTAGTCCACACAGAGCCGGTGAGAGCCGTCTATTTTGGGGACCATTACCACCGGTGAACCCCAAGGACTGTTTGAGCGTTGGACAACTCCGGTCTCAATCAAATCATCCAGTGCCTGGTCAATTGATTTCCTTTTTGCCGCACTGACGGGGCGAGGATTGAATTTCCACGGTTGTGCGTTGCCTGTGTCAATCCGGTGCCTCACCAGAGAGGTGCAACCCGGGCGTTCCGTGAACGTGTCGCTGAAACGTGTCAACAGCGACGACAGGCGGGCTTTCTCGCGTTTCGACAAGCTGTACGGCAAAGGCGGCAGCGAGCCATTCGAGTTGCTGCTTAGCGGGGGGGGGGGGGGGGTCACCGGCATAACCGAGACCTCGTTCACCGCGGCAGCATCATGCTCGAGGGAAAGTTGTATGCACGGACCATTTTCCGCGCACCGGCCAAAGGACCAGTCTTGGCGGGGAAGACGCGGGCCGTGGGGGCGACACTTTGTCTCCTTTCCTTCTTCCTCATGGCGTCCGGCGACCTACTGGCAGCCGAGACCACGGGAGGTGCAGCGAAAGGCCGTAGGGCGCCGGAAGGGCCGTCCCTGTAGCCTCCGCTTGTGACGTCAATCACGATACCTATGCGCGCGAGAAAGTCGCGACCGAGAATCACAGGCACAGAAAGACCAGGGAGATGCACAAAGCGCTGTAAGCGTGCGCGATTCTACCAACGCACAACCAACCTCGCAGCGCCGCACGAGGTGGCGGTACCGCTGGCGAGGTGGAAGGCAGTGTCGCAAGCTCGAACGCGGACAGAGCGGTCGCGCAAATGAGCCCTAATCTTTTCGTCGAACAGCGAGATCGAAGCCCCGCTATCCAGCAACGCCGCAAACTCTCGACCAGTTATCGTAAGGGCGATGAACGGCGCCGGCGTGGCTGGAATGTCATGTCCAGCGCGTCACGCCATCGGTGCCAGAGGTTGTGTTACACTCCCGTGCTCTCTTACTGCTGCAGCCGCCGGCAAGGGGGAGCTCGCTGACCGCTCACTCTGTTTCCCGACGGGCGAGGAGGCCCTTGTGTCGGTGGGGGCGCGTTGCACTCACGCGCGGTGTGACCACGCTCACGGCAACGTAAGCAGACAGCGCCTTTTCCTCCAACACGGGGGGGGGGGGGGGGATTTTGGCGATCCTTTAGAGCTACGAGGTGTCCGTTCGCTAGCCGCAGTGGGGGCTCCGCGATCGGATATCCCCTCGTGCACTGTAGCACGGGGTTTCCGTTCTTGTTCACGCTGCCTGGCAACGGTGGCCACCCGGGCGTACGAGTACGGGTCCAGAGCGCGGTCCGATACATCGAGCGCGTCTCGGTCTCTCGCGGCAGAGGCCGCCTCATGTTTCGGTGAACCCCAGTGTGACGAGTCACGACCAGCCCACGCGCGACGAGGCTCGAGAGACGCGGACGGTGGTGGCGGTGGGCAATAGGCTCGCGCCGCCAGAATGTCGCCCTGAATACGCTTCGCATCGGATGCCAGCTCGTTTAGGTCACGATAACGAGCGCTTCGAAGGTAAGCGGCGAAGGTTGGATGAGCCTGACGTATGGCTCGCTCCACCTTCTCAGCGTCTGATGCCGTAGGATCGGCAAGGAGGTAGAGCTCCTGCAAAGCCCGAACGTACTCGATAAGAGATTCGTCGGGATGTTGTGTGCGAAGCTTCAACTCGCGACGGATACGGCGCTCATATTCAGGAGGAAGGAATTCACTATAGAAGAGCGCCCTAAACTCCTCCATCGAGCGAGCTTGGTGGCCGACGAGCCGGTACCACCTCGCCGCTTGGGCTGTCAGCGACACGGGCAAAACAGAGCCTAGCATAATGCTGTCGCTCAGCAGCGCAACCTGCTGATGCAGCGCCTCGAGGTACTCGGTGG